GGGCTGATTCTGACCACTCTTGCAGCTGCTGTGGAGGTGCAAAGGTAGGTAGGGTTTCTCCCCCTGGGTAGCTTCTTACCAGACTTTGGGGAACCCAGGCAAGCTAAAGATCTCTGCTTGGGAGAAGGCAGCATTGTGCGGAGCCCTTGTCACCTACTCCCACTGAGGCTTCCATTGGCCCCTGGCTGGCCAGGCCCAGGATTTCTCTGAGCTTGGAAAAGCAACTGGTGATTGAACTGACTAGGGAGTATGTGTTGCTATTTTGTGTTTTTTACTGGTATCAGTAAAAGAACATCTGTTTTTTGGTACCAGGGATCGAATTCTGGACCTTCCATTTGCAAGGCAGGCAGAGGAACCACTGAGCTAAATCCCCAGCCCAAAAGAACATCTATGTTAAAAGCACTTGGCCTGGTGTGGTGGCACACGCCTATAATCCCAGCACTGGGGAGGCTGAGGCAGGAGGATCACTGTGAGTTCGAGACCAGCCTGGGCTACATAGTGAGACCCTGTCTCATCACCCCCCTCCCCCAAAAAAAAGCTTTGGACTCCTACAAAATAAGCCAAGGAAATGTAGTTCTTTAGCCTCAATATTGGGAAGAATGAATGAAAGTTTTCAACCTTAAAATTGTTTAGCTGTCTTTATAGTCTCATCCACCAGAGTGCTAAGATTACCAGCACGTACCACCACAGCCAGCTCATCAAATTATTTTTTAAAATTGGGGAATATGATATTAGTATTCATCCCCCCTTCTATGGCTTTTGTGTAAAAGGTCTCTGTTAACAATATTCATATAGGACCAGTGATTTAGCTCAGGGGCACTGCACTTTCCTGGTAAGTGCAAGGTCCTGAGTTTGATCCCTGGTACCAAAAAACCAAAAACAATATTCATACACCTAGTATCATGAAAAGCAACCTTGTTTTGCAGTGTCTGGGCTAGAACCTATACACATGCTAGGCCAGTGCTCTATTTTTTATTTGTTTGTTTTTGGACCGGGGATCGAACTTGGGACCTTGTGCTTGGGAGGCAGACACCGGAACCACTGAGCCAAATCCCCGGCCCTACTAATAGTGCTCTATTATTGAGTGACAATCCCAGCCCCAAAGGTGACATATCTTTATATTCTTTTCTTATAGGAACAGCTTGCTTGCTTTCATTCGTTTTTTTTAACTTCTTTATTAGGTGTCTTTTCTTTTCTTTTTCTCTTCTTTGTGTTTTTGTTTTTGCAGTACTGGGGATCAAACTCAGGACCTTGCACTTGCCAGGCAGACACGGTGTTGCTGAGCTACATCCCTGGCTTTTTTCCCCTTTGACACGGGATCTGGCTAAGCGGCCCACACTGGCCTCGAACTCGAAGGCTCATGTGATCCTCCTGCCTTAGCCTTCTGGGCAGCTGGAAGTATAGGCATTGGACCACCAGGCCTGGCTTGGAGGGAAGTTCAGTGGACCCTTGACTTAGGAAAATGGGTTCCTCACGTTGGTTGTAAGTCATTACACCTGAGAGTTTGATGTTTAGCTGGGGACACGCTATAGATAACAAGAGGCAGGTGAGTCTTCCATTAAGCTAATTAACTCAAGTTGTTCGTATGTCGGGCTCCGGCTTGACTAACTTTAGCATCCACTATATTTGTTCTGTTCTTCCTAACACTTGGATGGAATACATTGCAACTTTGAAAGTGAACTTTACTGAATAAAGTAAAACATACATTCAGAAAAGTATGCAAATTATAAATATTTGGGCGCATGAATTTTCACAAAGTCAACGTCTAGATCAAGAAATGGGGGAAAAAAAAAAGAAATGGAATATTGGGCCGGGGGTTTAATTTAGTGGCACAGCACCTGCATTGTAAGTGAAAGGTCTTGAGTTCGATTCCTAGTATCGCCCAAAAAAAAAAAAAAGGAAAAAGAAATGGAATATTACCAAGCATTCCAGAAGGCCCCTCCCATTCCCACCGCTTCTGGTTTCTAGCGCCACACAGTAGGTTGACCTGTCTGTGGCCTGTCCGTACCCTTCCGGCACCTGCCCCATCATCAGCCCTGTGAACCTCCTCTGCCGGGTAGTGTGAATGGACCACAGTTGATCCATCCTTCCTGAGGATCTGGACCCGATTTCACCTTCCTGGCCGTTCGTGTATATGTGTGCACATGGCTGAAGTCCTCAGAGTCACCCTAACTGGCTTAGAAGCACACATACTGCCAGAGTTTTTCTTGGTGGTGGTGCCAGTTTGTTTTTCTAAAAGCACGGTAATTGATTTATTGACATTAGACTACAAAAGCAAGGTTTTTGCTTCCATCCCTTTCTACTCTGATATTTTACATTACTTAAAGTTTTTCAGTGTTATATGTTACGACCTGAAGTAACTGCTCTTCCATTAATTTTTTTCTTGTTGCTTGTTTGTTTTGAGGCAGTCTTGCTCAGTAGTTCAGGCTGACCTTGAACTCACTATGTAGCCCAATTTGGCTTCAAACTCGTGGTGATCCTTCTGCCTCAGCCTCCCAAATGCCAGGATTACAGGGGCGTGCCACCCCACGAGGCCCTCTCATTAATTTTGGTTTGTTTGCTGTGCGAGGATGAAGCTCAAAGTCTTATGTATGCTAAGTAAGCACTCTTTTTTTTTTTTTTTTTTTTTTGGTACCGCATTGAACTCAGGGACCTTCAGTTTGCAAGGCAGGAGGCAGAACCACTAAGCTAAATCCCTGGCCCTAAGTAAGCACTCTTGACATTGAGCTCTTACCCCACCATCATATTGTTATCATTGGCAGTACTGGGGATTTAACCCACTGCACTGAGCTACATCTCTAGTTCTTTCTGTTTTTTCTTTTGCAACAGGGTCTTGGTAATTTGTTAAATTTCTCAGGCGGGCTTGAATTTGGGAGCCTCTTGCCTCAGCCTCCCTGAGTGCTGGGATCACAGATTTATACCACTATGCCTGGCCCATTAATTTTTGTTTTGTTTTTTTGAGACAGGATCCCTTTGTAGTTCAGGCTGGCACTGAACTCGCTAGCCTAGGCTGACCTCGAACTTGCAGCGATCCCCTTGCTTCAGCCTCCCAAGTGCTGGGATTACAAGCTGCACCATCCGGCCCGGCTCTGGCACATTAATTTTTTTTGTTGTTGTTTTTTTGGTACCAGAGGTCAAGCTCAGGACCTTGTGCTTTTTTTTTTTTTTTTTTTTTTTTTTTTTTTTTGAGGGTCGCACTATGTAGTTGAGACTGACCTGGAACTCACTATGTATTCCAGGCTGGTCTCAAACTCACAGCAATCCTCCTGCCTCAGCCTCCCGAGTGCTGGGATTATGGGCATGCACCACCACGCCCAGCTGCTCAGCCATTTTATTTTATTTTGGTACCGGGTTAGGACCTTACACTTGCATGAAGCAGGTAGTCTACACTTGCAAAGCAGGTGGTGGAACCACTTAGTTAAATCCCAGGCTCAGCCCCTTTAATTTTTGAAAGAAGCTTTTGTCCATCTATGATAAGGACATTAGAAGCTGGGCATGGTGGCACACACCTGTAATCCCAGCACTCAGGAATCTGAGGCAGGAAGATCTCTGCAAGTTCTAGGCCAACCTATAGAGCGAGGTTATTTCTCAGACCCCCCAAAAAGAGAGGATATTAGACCACTTAACTGCCTCATTTGTATTCAGAAAGGAAGAGAAACACTTTTAGTCACAGAGGAAATAAATGTATGGGATTTACATTTGTGCCACATGGTGATCCAGTGTTACCAAGTATCACCCATAAATCCCAGGTAAATCAGTAGGGTTAACTGGTAGAAGGAGTGAAATAAAGTCATTGATTCAAGAAGAGACTGAAATGAGGCTCCGTTTTCCATGCACACTATCTGCATTATTTAGGGAGGAAGAGCTCCTCGATATCTCCATGTTTCTATGGCTAAAATGAAAAAATCTTGATACTAGTTCTCCTGCTGGTGGGGGCTGACAGCTTGCCTGGTGTCTGGGGCATGAGAGCTGCACTGTTTCCTCCTCTGCCAGTGCCACAGTGGGAAGAGATGGGGGAGAAAGAGCCATGCCACAGCCTTTTCCCTTCATTGGTTCACTAAGTAATTTTTACTTGTTTGTGGGACTGGTGGCTGAACCCCATGGCCTTTGCGCCGAGGTACATCCCCAGCCCTTGTTTCATTTTTGATTTTGAGACAGGGTCTCACTAAGTTATTAAATTGTCTAAACTGAGCTCAAATTTGAAATCCTCCTGAGCCAGGCGTGGTGGCGCACGCCTGTAATCCCAGCACTTGGGAGGCTGAGGCAGGAGGATCTCTGTGAGTTCGAGACCAGCCTGGGTTACACAGTGAGTTCCAGCTCAGTGTTGACTACATAGTGAGACCCTGTCTCAAAAAACCAAAAAAAAAAAAATTCTCCCTCGGCCTCCCAGGTGCTGAGATTACAGTGGTGTATGTACCACATGGCCCGGCCTAGCTAGAAATGCGTGCGTCTCAGGGAAGTCGGTTTGCAGAGGTGGCAGTCACGCTTCTGCGCACATCCCTCTGGTAGGAACTTTGAATTCCACCTCCCCTAGGACCCCCTGTGCCTTCTTCAGGACAGTTAATGTTCCGCAAACTGGGGCCTTTAGTTCCTGTTAAGGTGCTAATTATTCTGAAAGGGTAACTTTTCATAGGGCAATAAGTGCAGATTTAAAACTAAATTGTATTTCCCACCTTTTGTGTTATACATAGCTGTTCAATTTTTTACTTTATTCCTTGCCTAGTTGGGGCTCAAACCCATGCTGTGCAACGGCCCCATCTCTGAGCTGTGCCCAGCCTTTCACTTTGCTGCACTCAGTGCTGGAGACCTGAGCTAGGTACAGGGCTTCGCTGTGGGAGCAACAGAAGTTAACACCCTTGCTTGTCTCGGTGAAACTCAGAAACTCCCATTCTGTACACCTGGATCTTACAAGCCACTGAGACACAAAGAGCTGTGAAGGTCTGATGCAGTAGTTGTAACTAGAGCTGACTGCCTGAGCCCCTTCTCTCCTTCTGTCCTAGTGTGAGATGGGCACCATGGAAGAAGCCGGAATTTGCGGGCTAGGGGTGCAGGCGGATCTGCTGTGCAACTCCCAGGCACACGGTATTCTGCAGCATCAAGACTCCAGTTGTGGCCCAAGTAACCAGCATCCTCTGGAAGAGGATGAAGGCAGTGACTTTATCACCAAGAACAGGAACTTGGTGAGCCCAGCGTACCTCGCCAAGGAGTCGAGAGAGGCCATTCCCGGGCGGGAGACTCGGACCGACCCCCCTGACGGCCAGCAGGACTCGGAGTGCAGCAGGAGCAAAGAGAAGACCTTAGGTGAGAGCGCCTGTGCTGGCCTTGTCACACCCAGTCCGCTTGCTCCCGCTTCGTGCTCAAAAAGTTGGGTGCTTGGCTTTCAAGGATCTTTCTCCGGCTGTGTAGTTAGCAATTTAGAGCAAGAATGTGGCAGGCTAAATCTAATGGAATTTGAAACCCGCATTTATTTATTTTATTTCGGTCTTATTGCTTGTCCCTTCCCTCTTTTTCTCCTTTCGGTACTGGGGATTAAATCCCAGCTTTGTATATGCTAGATACACAGTCTGCCCCTGAGCTACGGCTCTAGCCCTGCGTTTTTTAAATTTTATTTTGAGACAGGGTCTTGCTAAGTTCCCCAGGCGAGGCTGACCTTGAAGTTGCTATCCTGCTTCACCCAGCCCAAGGGACTACGGGGCGGGCCTGTGTCCCCTAACTGGGACCCCTCTTTATATTCATCCATTCAAAGACAAGGTCTCACTGCTGTTCAGGCTGGCCACCACGCCTGCCCTCTATTGTTACAATTAGTGTAACTTAAGATATTCAGTGTTTAATTTGCAGTATTTTGCACATGATTGTAAATTGGAATTATCTTTCTTGTAAATTTTCTGCTACCATAGGAAATGTAAGAAAGTACAGGGATATGAGCAGTAATTTGAATTCCTTACAAACAATAGAAATTTCTTAAATCACAAGCCCCACTTATATGTGGAAAATGAGGTATCACTGGTTGTGGCGGCACACACCTGTACACCCAGCACAGCACTCTGGAGGCTAAGACAGGAAGATCACCATGAATTTGAGGCCATCCTGAACTACATAGCAAGACCTTGTCTCAAAAAACAAAATAAAACAAAACAAAGATGCCATCTTATAAAGTTACAGATAAAGGTAACATACCAAGCAATTGTACCTCTAGGTGTATATCCAAGAGGACTGAAAGTGTGTATCAGAATCTTAACTCACATGTTCATATTCGTTACAGCCCAAAGGCAGAAGTGACACAAACATCCATTAGTTAATGAATGGATAAGGCAGGATATATCCATGTGACGGCATATTACACAGCCATCAAAAGGAACAAAGCATTGATAGATCCTACATGAATGAATCTCAAGAAAACATTTTACAAAGTGACAGAAGCTAGACACAAAAAGCCACACAGTAGCTCTCCATTTTATTTATTTTTTATTTTTTTATTTTTATTGAGGTTATTCGTACAATCTAGGTATACAATGCAATTACATTCATCCTTGGGATTCTGTACCTGTACATAATAGGTCTTGATTCTCATTTTTCCCCTTGTCCCTGCCCTCCCTTCACCCCCTCCTCCCCTCCCCATTTACAAACACTTTATTTCCATTTTTTCAGTTTCTCATATTTTTTCCCCTCCCTTATTACCTTTCCCTTACCCTACCCACTTTTCCTACACCTTTAGCCCTTTTCTTCCTGTTTCGCATTATTAATTATCTCATTAGGATCCTGTGTACTATTATAGTTTTTCACACCAGAGAAACTATTCGGTACTTCAATTAAAGAAATCTCTGTATGAACATTAAAAATAGGGAATCCTAAAATAAAACTAAAAAGGAAAGTAAAAGAGAAAAGGCAATGATGTAACATTAAAATAACCCTTAATTCTGGAGATGAAAATGGTCCCTGAACATATTTAAATTGCTTCTTGCTCTTATAGTTTTATCTTGTTCTTTTTTTCATTATTTAGAGAATACTTTATTAGTTTCTGTAATCAAACCCACTTAGATATGACCTTATATATTTGGTATGATGTGTTACCCCTGTACACTTGAAAAAAAATAAAAATAAAAATAAATTAACATTTCTAGACCAATATGGCTGTCCATTTCTGTACAATGCCAACTCAACACAGTAAATTGGGATGACTTTTTCCAAAGTTGGCAGCACCGTTAAAGTTTCCCAAAATTCAATTTATATATATATATATATATATATATATATTTATATTTATATAAAAAGACTAATAATAGCAGTGTGTTATGCATCGATAGCAGCAACAGCTTTTCCAGGTTCTGCAGTCATCTGAACAAAATTATAGACATTCAGCACATTGCATTAAGCTCTCCATTTTAATATGAGATTTCCTGATCTGGGAAGTATGTGGAGACAGAAAGTAGATTGGTGGTATTAAGAGCCTGTCTCAAAAAATAAAGGATTGAGGTTATAGTTTGGTGGTAGACTATCCCTGGGTTTGATTCTCAGTACCACAAATACTGTAAGGAAATAAAGTGAGTTTAATGGTACATGGATTCTGTTCCCCAAAAAAAAGTCCGATAAGAGTTTGAGTTTAAAACTCTCCACATGGGCCTGGAGATTTAGCTCAGTGGTTCCACCACCTGCCTTGCAAGCACAAGCTCCTTAGTTCGATCCCTGGTACCCCCCAAAATAAATTAATTAAAAAATAAAAATCGCCATAAAGTTGTAAATTATATTTAGTAGTCATGTGTAATCATCTCAATATTCTTATCAGCCTTGAGCTAAATGAGAGGTTTCATTAATAAGATTTATGTGGATTTAAAAGACATTTTTTTTTAGTTTTTATTTATTTATTTATTTTTTGGTTTTTTTGAGACAGGGTCTCACCATGTAGTTGAGACTGACCTGGAACTCACTTTGTAGCCCAGGCTGGTCTCGAACTCAAAGTGATCCTCCTGCCTCAGCCTCCCGAGTGCTGGTGGGATTACAGTTGCCACCACTCCTGGTTTTAAAAGACTTTTGTTTTTGGTACCGAGGATTAACTTGAACTCAGGACCTTGCGCTTGCGAGGCAGGTGGTGGCACCACTGGGCTAAGTCCCCAGCCTAGAAAGATTTTTTTGAAACGGAGTCTTGCTATGTTGCCCAGAGTGGCCATGAATTCTTAGGCTCAGTAAATCCTCCTGCTTCAGCTCCCCAAGCGGTCCCTAGCCGGGACCACAGGAGTGTGCCAACACAGTGGCCTGGAAAAAGTAATCTTTTTTTGAGACAGGTTTTCACTGTGTAGCACTACGTAGCACAGGCTACCCTCAAACTTGCAGTGATCCTTCTGGTTCAGTGTCCCGAGTGCTGGGATTGCAGATGTGTGTCACCACGCCCGGCAAAGTATTCTTTTTGAAGTTGGCATGCTTTTTTCTCCCATAACAGTCGCTATGCCAAATACCAAAATAATTTTATGATACTTAATAAAATATCTTACATGTAAGAATGAATTTTTTTTTTTTTGTACTGGGGATTGAATTTGGGACCTTGTGCTTGCAGGGCAGGTGACGGTGATGGTACCACTGAGCTAGATCCCCGGCCTGTGAATACTTTTATGTATGTATGTATTTATTTTGTACCAGGAATAAAACTCAGGACTGCCACTGAGATACCTCCCTGGCCCAAAAATGAACATTTTAAAAGATAAAACTAGGGCCAGGGATTTGCTCAGCGGTTCCGCCCTCTGCCTTGCAAATGCAAGGACCGCAGTTCGATCCCTGGTACCGAAAAAGATAAGACTAGTACCTAACTCCCTTTAAAAGATAAAACTACTACTTATCACCCAGTTTAAGAAATACAGCGCTGCCGGGCCCGGTGGCACACTCCTGTAATCGCAACACTCAGGAGGCTGAGACCAGGGATCACCACGAGTTCCAGGGCAGCTTGGGCTGCATAGTGACTTCAAGGCCAGCCTGACCGATACGGCTAGACCCTGTCTCAAAAAAACAAAATAAATAAAGAAGGGCGTTTCCCCCTCTCAGCTACCTGCTTTGCCCTCTCAAAGCCCCTCAGGTCCTGTTGGTGAGCCCCGTTCTCAAGGGAAGCAGGAGCGTGGGCTTGCTCCCCCTGTATTTACACTAACCTTGACTCACACAAGGAATATGCTTGGTAAATCACCAGAAAGTGACTTATTTAAATTGCTGTGCGAACAGACCTGTGTGGCAGTGATTACGTGCACTTTAGATAGGCAAAGCCTGGCACCAGCTGCAGCTCCCTTTGAACTTGCTTCCGTTTTTGTGCTCGGTTAGGAGGAAGCTCTGAAAAATACTCTGCCCTTTGTAGTTTGCCCTTTGTCTTAGCTTGAACATCAGTGGTTAGGCAAGAACAATGTGACGCTTTCAGCAATTCTTAGAAATAGTTCTGGGGTGAGTGATGAGTGAGTGATGAAATTTGGGCCGGGATGGGAGAGGAGCCTGCTGACCCAGAGTTGGAAACTAGCTTGCTCTTTGCTTTGAGGCGCTGGGGTTTGAACCCAGGGCCCCAAGCATGGTAGGCAAGGTAGGCGAGTGCTCACTGCCACCCTACACAGCCGAGTTACTTGAGAGGATGAAGAGGTCATTTCTAGTCACAGAAGTGACCTCTTTGCAGCAGAAGAGGGAGTGTGAGGAGGAGTGCAGGCCGGATTGGCCTTCTGTGTCCTAAGGTAGGGCTTATCTTGTTAATCATCAGGAAAAGAAGTTTTGTTACTCATGCAAGCCCTGAATACCCTATCCACCCCGGAGGAGAAGCTGGCAGCTCTCTGTAAGAAGTACGCTGATCTCGTGAGTATTAATCAAGGGCAAAATGAGTACGCTTGATGGGCTTTTTATTGATTTTGTTGTTGTGGATAAACTTTTTTTTTTTTTTTGGTATGGGGGAATTGAACTTGGGACCTTGCGCTTGTGAGACAGGTGGCTTCATTCCCGGCCTCTGATTAACTTTTAAAAATATGATTTTCATGTAGCTTTAAATGTCAAATTATATTTTATTCCAAAATTGAAGAGAATATTTATTTATTTAGGTTCTTTGAAACAGAGTCCCACTATGTAGCCCAGGCTGGCCTCAAACTCACTATGCAGTGCAGGCTGGCCTTGAATGGAGATCCTTCTGCCTCAGCCTCCTAAGTGTTGAGAATACAGGTGTGCACCACTATGCCCAGCTCTGTTTTGTTTTTTTGAGACAGGGTCTGGCTATGTAGTGTAGGCTTATCTTAAACTCAAACGGTGAGGCGATCTTCCTGCCTCATCTGAGTGCTGGGATTACAGGTGTGCATCACCCTGGCTGGCTATTGGGTTTTTTTTCTTGATTCTGTAATTTTATTTTACCAGGTAAAATATACAGTACATGATAGTCCTGAGGCGTAGCATAGATTTTTGCCTTTTTTGAAATGGGGTCTTGCTATTGTTTCCCAGGCTGGCCCTGAACTGAACTCCAAATGTTCTCCTGCTCGGCCTCCCAGGTAGCTGGGACTACATGTTCATGTCACTGTGTCAGCTGGCATAGATTTTCTGTGACTGTTGTAGAATGCTTTCTGGATTAGCCTTTCCATTGCTGGGTTCTGATGCTTTCGAGGCCACTTAGACTACAGTGATTTGTTGTTGTTGTTGTTGTTGTTTTTGGTCCTTTGAGACAGGGTCTCACTATGTAGTTGAGACTGACCTGGAACTCACTATATAGCCCAGGCTGGTCTCGAACTCACAGCGATCCGCCCTGCCTCAGCCTCCCGAGTGCTGGGATTATAGGCGTAGGCCACCACGCTGGGGTCAGACTACTGAATTTTGTAGTGAATTTTTCCCAAGGGAGTTCCAGAGACAAAACTGCTAAATATTTTGATTGAAATTATGAGTTAAGATGAAATGGGCTACTAAAACAATAGTATGTCTCAGGAAATATTTATGTAGCATCTAATATGTGCTAAGCTTTCTTTTTTCCGTCTTCCAGAGAAATTGATCCCATTCAAAACTTAGTTGTGGGCTTGTTATTTTAAGTAATATTGATTATCCTTTTGGGATGGTGGCAGGAGCATCAACATGGAAACCCTAGGGCTGGTGATTTAGCTTAGTGGCACCATGCCTGTCTCACAAGTGTAAGGTCCTGAGTTTGATTTCCGGGACCAAAAATCCAACACCGTGGAAACCCTGCTACCCATTCTGTTAGATCCCTTTGAAGAAAGGTTGGTGGGGGGACTTTTATAAGTAGTTCTAGTGCAAATGCTAACACTTGTGTTGTTTGTGCGAGACTTAGATGAATTACCATTTACAGTTTAATGTAATTTACTGTTAGAAAGGTTATTCCATATCACAATCATTGTTTTGGTCAGCAAGCAGCCTTAGGGCAGTCAGCTCTGATTATTATCCAGAGCCTCACTTTTACTTTCCTTGGGCCCAGGAAGTGGTCTGGGTTGCGCCCCGCAGGCACTGAGCTGAGCAGTCCAATGCCTTCTGCTGGGTGGCGCCCTGTGGGCGGGGCCTCTCAGCAGGTGGCCCGGAGAGTCCCGGATGTAGGGCTGGTAACCCGCCTGGACTGCTGGCTTGGGGAAGGAGAATCGCGGAAGAAGTGCAGAATGGGACACGAACAAAGACGGGCAACACGTGCCATGTGCAGAAGGCTAAACCACGGAAAAGGCAGTGCAGGCGGAGCGGCGGACAGTGGGCATGGAGGGAGAGAGCGCGTGAGTCACCCCTGTCGGTGCTTGGCCCACGAATCCGCATCTTCCTGAGCTCTGCTGAGACCACACTCATCTCACTGCAGAGGTGCATTGTCTAGCTCGCCTAGTGCTGAAGCCCAAGGAGGAGCCTTTCGTCACTGCTCGTCAGCTGCCACGCAAGAGTGTTGTATGGGGATCTGTGCGGGGCAAGGGCGACTTTTGGCCCCCGCGCTCAGCACACAGTGGGTGCCATTGCCATGATTCTGCACCGTGGACCGGAAGCGCTTGCAGTCTCTTTCCTTTTCATATGCTCGAGTAGTTTCTTACCGAGTAATAAGGTTTGGTAGCTAGATCTGCCTTTTTATGTCAGAAATGCACTGACTATTGGCCCATTTGTTCTATAAATTTTAAGTTCAATTCTTAGATCGGGTTAGGAAGCACATTGCAGGGTTTTTCTGTTGTTTTTTTCAAACATCTTACTGAGGCCTATCTTGAATTCATTGGCTCTGGTGATCTCCATTTGGGATTATGAAGGCTTTCATGGGATCTCTGGATGCATTTAGGGAAGAATTACCATTCTTGTGGAAGTGGAACTTAAAAGGGCATTATTCTTATGGAAAAAATGAAATTTGAGCCGGATGTGGTGGCACATACCTATAATCTGGGAGGCTGACGCAGGGGGAATCACGTTCCAGCCCAGCCCGGGTGACTTAGTGAGACCCTGCCTCAAATTTAAAAAAAATTTTTAAAAGACTACTATCACCAGCAAAAAGAAAAAAAAAGTTGCCAGACTGAGTGGCTCTCACCTGGTATCTCAGCACACAAGTTCAAGAGCAACCTAGGCTGTGTAAGAGCAAATTCAAGGCTGGCCTAGATGACATAGCAAGACCCTGTGTCAAAACAACAAAAACATGAAAGTGAAGAGAGATTATGAACTGAGAGGAACATATTTTCTTCTGACAAGTACAACAGAAGATTTTGTAGCAAGAATACTTAACACCAGGCTGGGGATTTAGCTCAGTGGTGCCGCTGCAGCTTCCCAAACACAAGGTTCCAAGTTCGATCCCCGCTACCAAAACAAAAAAGAATATTTAACACAGGTAAACAGGAAAAGGACACACACTACACACCCAGGAGAAAGTTGGGAAGACATTTCATGGAAGTGGAAAAGGGCACAGTGATACCGTCAGGCCCATTGTTTGTTTTTTGAGAGTAGCCAGCTCTCCATCCTAGTGGCAGAAATGAAGAGGTGGAAACAGAGTAGGCTTTGGACAGGGTGTGGTCTGCCGGCTCTCACATCCGCTGTGGTGATTCCGATGTGCTGGCCAGTTTGGGGAACTGGAAAACCTAGAGCAGAGCTCATCGCGCAGACCGTGTCTCAGGAAATGCAGACCATGCCAGGGCCACTGTGTGTCCTGACGAAGCCTGCGCACTCCCGCTGCCCAAGAAGGGCCAAGGCTGGCTTGCCCGTGGTGTGCAGCTGTGGGCTGAGTCCGTTACAGCTTGGTTTGCATTTGCCGACAAACTAAGAATGTTATTTATTTTTGGTACCGGGGATCCAACTCGGGACCTTCTGCTTGCGAGGCAGGTGGCAGCACCACTGAGGAAGCAGTCTTCTAACCCCTGATCTCTAGCTACAGCCCTAGAGTCCTAGAGTTGTGTGATGACGGTGAGGTAGCCACTAAAGCTTAATAGAAAAAAGAAAAGTCCCTCAGTTGGCAGTAGTCACAGTTAAAAATATGTAAAGCCAAAAAGCTTTGTTTGGTGGGTTTTTTTTGTTTTTTGTTTTTTTAGCACTAAATGGGGAAAGAAGTGACTTAGCAAGGCAAGCAAGGAATACCCAGCGCAGGATGCCCCGGTCTTGTGCCCGGCCTGGGGGCGGGGTTAGGGACGAGCCGCCTCCGGCCCTGCACTGCTGCCCCCAGGTGGCAGTCAGGCAATCCGCAGCCTCTGAAGGGGGTCGGGGGTTACCGCCCGGTACCTGCGAGCATTTTGCTCGGAGGACGCTTGGTGTGCTTGCCGGGCCACACGGTGGCGCTCTTGCTTTTGAAATCGTGACTCAGCGTCATTTGCTGCACTGGTGCGGTGTAGGAGAGACAGTGAGGCTGCCGTCTTATCGGCTGGTGCACACTGAACCACGAAACAGACTCATTTGCTTCAGACCTCAAATCGTAGCCTTTCCCTCACAAAGAACTCTGAGTGCTGCTTACTGAGCTCTAGATTCTCACGGCCATTTCAGTACTGTAGCCCGTGGTGTTTAGAAAAATAAAACTCAGTGTTGATTTCGAAAACTGTTGATTCCTAAAACATCACTTTTTTTTTTAAAAGTTCAGTAAAAGCTATTTTGTCATTGGGTTTCAGTATGCCTTTTGAACGGGTAGGAAGGGGCTAGACTTGTGCAGCAGACAGCAGTTGGGACACAGCTGGGCTGGGAGCTGTGGGTCCCGGCTTCAGTGCAGTGAGGGGGGTTCATTTCCCCAGGGCAGCCGGAAGCCAGGGCCGCCTTGCCAGTGGGTGGAATGAGTTCAGAACTTAGAGTTGGAGCTGGACACAGCCCCCTGTGACGTGGGAATCACTGAGATAGAGTGAGGAAGAAGAGGTCTGCTCTGCATCTGGAGTTGGGCAGGGGCACAGAATGGAGGACTTCGCCCATCCCCTCCCTGTCCTAAGTGTGCAATCTGGGCAGCTTAGTGGTCTCTGGGCTGTGGATTTCCTGTTAAAGCTTTTAGGAGAAAGCTAAACATGCATAATAAAAGGTGAAGATTAAATGTATCTAAAGGGTAAAAATACAGGATCATTTCCACCTGCCGTAGATGTGCTTACTTCCTTGATGCAGCTGGGAAAGAGGAGGTTGGCAGCGTTGCACAGCCGGAAGCAATTTAACTAAAATACTACACTACGCCCTCTGGCTTTGTGTTTGCACTGTCCCTCCCCCTGAACTGTGCCCAGCCCCAGTGTTTGGCTTCCTGAAGGGTGCACGGCTTTGCCGTAGTCCTCCTGGCCACAAGTCTCAGCTGCTGTCCTTCCTAAAGATAAAGTGTTAATTGATTTCAGCTGGAAGAGAGCAGGAACGTTCAGAAACAAATGAAGATTCTGCAGAAGAAGCAAGCCCAGATCGTGAAAGAGAAAGTTCACTTACAGAGCGAGCACAGCAAGGCAATTTTGGCGAGAAGCAAACTAGAGTCTCTTTGCAGGGAGCTTCAGCGTCACAATAAGACCTTAAAGGTTAGTCAATTCGTGCTTCTGTTTTTCAGGACGTACTCAGCTGGTTTTATAATCGTCTTGTGTCCATTTGAAGGAAATGCGTGGCACTGCGTGGAGAGCAGGACACCACCTTCTTTCTGCTGTGCTTGGCCTGATGCTATGTGGGAGGCCACTGTGACATAAGACCAACAATTTCTCTCTGCTTCTCGGTGTCCTGTGAAGGATTAGTTCCATCCGGGTCACTCACAGGGAGTTGACGTGGGACTGCCGTTCACACCTTAGCTCTTGCTCAAGGCCATGGATTAAGGAGCTCTGAGTTGCGCTGCTCGGCTGAGCACTGACGCAGCTGACGCCCATGGATGGGAAGCTGTTGGGAAGTCAGACTCCCACAGTGAGAGCTTCGGGGCTCTTGGGGGTCAGGGCCCCCTGCCCTGCCCATCCTGGGCATCATCATAGCACTCACGCCTCGGCACATTTTAACAAGGGAGAGCCGGCAGGTGCCTAGAGACAACAGGGCAGGAGGGCATGGAGCTGAGGGGAGAACCTGCCTCTTCCACCGGCCGGACCCCGGGCAGTACCCTTCGTTCCCCCAGCACACGCACAGCTGAGGTAGGAGCCCCCCAAGGTGGTCTTCACCTGAGGCAGTCCTCACCTGAGCGGGACCGCTATTCTCTTGTCCTTGTTGGAATCCTTAGCTATAGATCTGAAGTAAAGTCAGTGGTATTATTTGTCCTGGGACAGGTCATTTTGAGTGGATCAATGAATGTATTTAGACCTGTAAAGGTCACCTGACTCTTGCGGTTTTTACAGTAAGGGTTCCACTCAGCCCTGGGCCCCTGGGGAGTGGAGGCGGTGACCCAGAAGGAGACCTGCAAGAGAGGCTCTGCCTTCTGGCGACAGCCAGTGGGAGCTGGCTGTGAGAAACCCCAGACCTGTAGCCTAGCACAGTGGCTTTAGGTTCTCCTATCACTCTGGGAGTAGAGCATTAGTTACTGTGTCTCCTTGGGAAGAGCAGATTGCTTTCAGATGAGCGCCTGTGGGGAGGAGCTAGAGCTCGGGAGCAGCATTTCAGGGAGCGGTAATGAGTGCATCGAAGTAGCTGTCTCTGTGAGTGTCTTATCTGTAGGCCACACTAGTAACAGACATTATTTTGGGCACCAAGGAGGAAAATATGCAGCAGGCACGGGAAGAGGAAGAACGGCGTAAAGAGGCAACGGCACATTTCCAGATGACTTTAAACGAGATCCAGGCCCAGCTGGAGCAGCATGACATTCACAACGCCAAGCTCCGCCAGGAGAACATGGAGCTGGGGGAGAAGCTGAAGAAACTCATTGAGCAGTACGCGCTGAGGGAAGAGGTAGGGCGTCCTGTCCTGTCCTGACTGTGGACCGGGCTGTGCTCATGGCTCCTGGATATGCCTGGTAGGAGGGCGGGGCCCAGGATGGTGAGTGCGACGCTGCTTCTCCTCTAGTGGGGTTGGGGTCCTGGAGCAGGGCAGCTGTCACATACAGAGCCCTTTCTTACCCAGACTCTGGGTGAGGAAGCATTCGGCCCCAGTAGCCACTTGCGTTGCATTACAGCCATGTTTCAGTTTTCTGTTTTGTCTTTTGAGACATGGTCTTGCTATGTTGCCCAGGTTGGTCGTGAATCCCTGGGCTCAAGTGACCGTGACCATCCTGCCACGGCTTTCTGAGTAGGGACCATAGGTATGCTCTGCTGCTGCACCCAGCTCCAGATTTTAAAAAGTGTGTGTGTGTGTGTGTGTGTGTGCACGCGCGCACACAGGTCAGACCATGGCCTTGTGTGCTAGGCACGCGCTCTGTGGAGCCACACCTTAACCCTGTTTTGTAATTTTGCTTTTTTTCCCCTCCCTTTGGTACCGGGAATCAAACTCAGGACCGTTTGCAGCACCACTGAGCTAATAAATCCCTGGCCCAAATTTCGCTTTCATTTCTTTATTTTTGATGGTGTGATCAGACCCAGGGCTGTATGCATGCTAAACGTGCTCCCTGGCTGAGCTAACCCCAGTCCCATGATGTTATTTTTAATGAGGATTTTGTACTATTTAAGAGAAAAAGAAGCTGCCTCTGGCCCCTCCTACACACTGTGGCAAGGTTTACTGGACCAAGTCAGGGCCCTCTTCCACAGAGGTTCCTGCCTGCGCCATGCCTGTCAGGAAGATCACAGGCGGTGTGGTGCACCCTCTGCCTCCAGGGCATGAAAGGACGCCTTCCTGTGCCTTGTGTCCGCATGGGGATCCACTCAAATAGCTGACTGCAGTGGAAAAAACAGTTGTGGCATCGCTTTCCTTCTTTATCCACTTTTCAGCTTCCTGGTAATTTACAGTGTTACAGACCCTCGAAGCTATTTCAAGATTTTTCTTTCGATCACTCTACCACATTTTGCTTTTCTTTTTTTTAATAGTACTGAGGATTGAACCCAGGGCCTTCACATTAAGCTATATCCCCAGCTCTTAATAATTTTGCTTTTTTTTTTTTTTTTTT